GGGCATCATCGTTTGCTTCCTTCTCCACGAGTTGCTGAAGCATGCCTAGAATATTACCCAATGTCGTTGAATCGTCATTGTATATTGATAAAGAGGGTGAAGAATATTGTTGAACGTCGTCGTCGTCGTAGTCGTCGTCGCTGTATTCGTCATCGTTGCCTTCCAAGTTAACCAGACCATACAAAGGAATCTTGTAAACATCAAACGCTTGTTTCCTAAAGTTCGCCTTGAGTTGTTCGAGTTGTTGAATCGATAATGTATCAGCCTTGCCAATAATAGGAATCACATTCACCCGAGAGCTGAGTATTTCAATGGCATACCGATCCATATCAGCCAGTCCATCGTTTACTTGAGTGTTGATAAAGTAGAAGCAAGCATGTATTCGACTATCGTGAGCTTTGGTATCCCTTTTGACTTTGGATTCCTACAAGAATGTAAAAAAAGGAAAAGAAAGAGAAATAAAAAAAGGTCCTTTTTTTTTTTTCTTTTACCTCAATCAAACTCCGCTCCAACTGATGATCGATGTATTTGGCAAGAAACCCCAGTTGATGATTCAAAGCGAACCCTTTGACAAGCCCTTGAGTATCTATGATAGTAAAAGCAGTAGTACGATGATCATCATGTAACTGCATCGAAATACTGTATAACTCGTGAGTGGGCTGCAAGGGTCCTTGTAAAACGAATGGTGCACTTTCTTGAAAAGTCCCTGGAACCCGACGACTTTTTACTTTTTCGCATAATGTTCGGATGAATGCCGTTTTACCAGATGATGCGGCTCCAATCACCATGACATTAAGACATACTGGGGGCTCTTTTCGTAATCTGGACATATCTTTATAGAGTTTCAGACAAAAGAACAAGAAAGAGAAGAGAGATAAAGAAAGAATGAAATGAAAGAGTGAAACAATTATAATAACAAATAAATCGTCAAACAAAATTTTTACCGGTTCGTTTGCTTTGATGATGTTAGGTATAAACATTTTAAACCTTTTATTTTCATACCCCGACAAATCATGCAAATGGACCGACCCCACCCCACCAAGCCAAATCAAGTCAAATTAAAAAGTAAAGAGGTTTTTTATTGTTGATGATACGGTTTGATAATGATACATATGCAGTAAATATATAAAGATAAAAAAGATTAAATATAATTCAAAAATGATGATAAGCATCCAACAAACTAGTAATATAGACCAAGCCGGAATCAATCTTCTTCGTCATCGTCGGTATCAGGCCCAGTCATGTCAATAGCAGGTAATCCCATATCAAGGTCATAATCTGAATCATCATCAATGGTAGTAGACTTGAGTGATGATGTCCCATCAGTCGTGTTTGTTTCTACTGTTGTTGTAGTGGATTCAACTTGTTGTGTCGTGGTGATGCCTGCTTCGTTGTCAAACGTGATGATGGTATCCACTTGTCGTCGTTCCGTTACAGTTTCCGAATCATCATTATTATTACCATAATCGATATTGTTGGGTTGGATTTCATTGGTTGTGGTTGTAGTAGTAATCATTGATGGATCGTTTGATGGAATGTCGTCCGAGGATTCCTTCATAACCGCATCAGTTTCCTTTTCAGTCAATACAATGTTTTCGTTTTCAGTGGTGCTTTCATCAAGATCCTTTGTTGGGCGACTTGGTACTGTATCAGTTTCGCTTGTTGTTTGATCCACAAGAGGCTGACTAGTAGTTGAGGAGTCGATGACAGGTTGTTCAATGATGTTCCGTTCAGCAGAAAGAGCGTTTGAGGTGATTGTGGTGGTGGTTGCAGGGTAACTAGATGTAGGGGTGTCATCATTGGACTTCTTTTCACTGTCTTGAATCGCTTGGTTGAGTTTCGCAGTAATAGTGTTTGTTGTTGATTGGATAGGAGGCATGCGTGGGTGTATTATCAAGTTACAAATAGCCAAGCCTTGTTTGCATATGGCTTGTAGCTAGATTTAAAAAACAAGGAGGGAGAAAAGGGTTGAAGTCAGTTACACATTCTTGTTTAAAAAGATGATTTTTCATACCTGATGGTTTTGCTCATTAAGACCTGCTGTAAAAATCCGAATAGCATGAGGTAGAGCAGTAGCTTGTACTTCAATAGGATTCATGATGGAGCCCAAAAGACAACAATAGAGCTTTTCCTTGACATTAGTGTCACCGGCCAATGTGAATCCCAATGGTTTTTGTGCCGAGAGTAAGAGTCGAGAGATAATACTGGAGTCGATCAGGTTTCGAGTATGCAAATCCATCGATGATCCAAAGCAGTTAAGAAGATCTTGGAGAGAATCCAATCCAGCCATTTGAATATCATGAGGTGCTTGAGTGCTTTGTCCACTGTTGGCCAAGAGATCAGAGTTCGTCAGCGTATCCCTTTTCCTTTTCATAGACTTGTTCTAATCAAGTTAAAGAAGAATCTTATTAGTGACCTTTTTTTTTTCTTCCTATCTTTTTACCTTGACTTCAGTGGGTGCCATATCTGTGACCTTTTGTTCAGTTATACGTATGTCTTCCAAGATGCTTGTTACAAGAGGTTTGCACATCGATTCACCGAAAACATACCCGAATTGTTGGAGACACAAGGATATGATGTTATATACAGATATTTTCAAGGTCCTTTAAAAAAGATATTAAAAAAAGGCAGTTAGTAAACGATCATTTTCCTTTTTTTTTTTTTTTTTTTTTTTTTTTTTTCCTTTTTCCCTACAACTACTTTACCTTTGAGTTTTGTATTCATTTAACATCCGAATGAGAATCCGAGAGAAGAGTTTGCTATATCTAGACAAATGGCTACCAGAGCTTGAGACAAAAAAGTCAGCTTAATCTTTCATCCATGAGTGTGCTATTCCCTGTAATCCTTACCTAAGCAATAATGCCGACACCAATTTGTTAGCACTTTGATGAAGTGTTGGGAGGCAAGACATCAAACAAGTAAATTCGGTCTTGTCCTTGAATTCGCGCATCTAGATATTGATAATAAGAATCAAGTTAGTTATATGACAATTGGTTTGTAAAAGCAGATGAGCTTACCAGAGACCCTTCGAATACATTGTATACACGGCACACTAGATCAATAAGCTGCACGATGGGTACAGAAACTACAGAGAACGTTGGAGATCTACAGAATATCATAGCACGAAATAAAAAGTCAGTAAGTAAAACAAGGTGAGCAATTTAGAGGCACTTGTAGGTCGCATTAACTTACCCTAAACAAGTAGTAATAGCCATATTGAGAGACTTTACCCGACGAACGATTAGAGGGAAGGCCACGATCGGATCAGGAGAAGTGTCGGCTGTGGGATACGCAGGCGGGAGATCAGATAATTCCAGTTCTATACAAATGATGGACAGTAATTAGGTTAGAGATTGAGTTTTACTTGCTTCACATGTGTAGACCCAGTTTTTTTTCCTTTTCCTTTACCTTCGTCGATGGTGTCAAACAAACGATTGAGAGATACATGGACAGATCCAATCAAATGTAGTATGTTATCCTTCCATTGATCCGAGCTGCTCGTTTTACCGTTGACATGATGTAATGCAGCCAAGCATTGACAGGCAGCATTTAGTGTTTCCTTGTTGATGTTTTCTTCTCCATTTAAGCAAGAGAGACACCGTCGAAGACATTGATCAGCAATGTGCCGTGATTGAGAAGGGAAGTGGATAATGTTGGTCTTCAAAGCTGTTAATATGACTGGCTGTAATATTAAAAGGTGATTAGTATATATTCCATTTGTAGATGGGAGAGAATGTAGGTTCTGTTATTCTTACCAGTAGATCGGTCGATTTGCATAGGTTGAGCAAAGCTTGATTGAATCGAGGCAGGTTGGGGACAGTAATTTCACGTTGTAATTCAGGTTTGTTGGAGGTGTATGAGAATAAGAAGGATAATGTTTCGATAGCAGCCTTGTGAATCATATCGTTTTCAGTTTTCTACATTCATTAGATCAAAAAAATAAGATTTAAAAAAAAGTGAGAATCATAATCAAGAAGGAATACCATTATTAAAATACTTACAGTCACCAGACCAAGGAGTTGAGCAGACCAGGACCGAATATGAGCGAACAAAAGAGAGGGTGATTCTTCGCAGGTAAGTTTGATCAAAACAACGGCAGACCAACGGGCAGTTGCTTGTTTAGATTGTATTAAAGAATTCAGGCGGACAGTCCATTTTCGGCGTACGACCGCCACTTCGTCGTTGTTGTCTTGATCTTTCAATAAAGATCGTGTCAGAATAGCATCCATGATAAAAGGTAGATTGTTATGAAGGCTGGAATCATCGCTTAGGTAATAAGACAGGAGCTGTGCAAGCATGTCCACTGACCTAGATAATGTCGACATGTCAAAAGTGTAGGAGAGTAAAGCAAGAAGAAAAAAAAAAAATCCGTGACGTTAAAAATGCGCCCACAAAAAAGCGGGGTTTGAACAACTGTGAAAAGGTACAAAGCTAACTCTGGATAACTACTCATTTCTACCCAATAAAGCATCCTTACAACATTAAATAATAGCTCCACATGATATTCTTTAAGATTGTTTTTATGTTGGTGCTAACTGGGGACTATCTTGCACTTACAAAATCATTAAAAACCATTTGATATTTTAAGCGGCGCCTCAATATTTCATGTCTGCTTTATATACAACATAGCTATTTGCGTAATTGTCAGAATCGACACATCTGAAGACATACGATTCGACGATCGCGGAGTTCCAATGGTCAGAAGAGCTGGATTAAAGCGGCGAAAGAAACGGAGATCCTCTTTCACATTTAAAGCCCGCTTCTCTGGATAGTTCTACAGCATTCTATTATACTTTCACTTCCCCAAATCATAGACTAGTTAGTAATGAAGCCCTGGAGACAGGTAGAAGTATCCAGAAGACATATAATAGTATAAATACATGTTTACTTTTATTCAAATAAATATTATCTATCATTTTAATTAACAATCGCTATTTTAAATTTATAAACCCCGACCAATCTGCTATATATACTACATAGAGATTGACATAATATCAGCCGCCCGTGTGGCGAAATTGGATATCGCTTCGGACTTCTAAGAAGATGCAATCCGAGGATTGCGGGTTCGACCCCCGTCACGGGTACCTTTTTTTCACTGCCAGACATCGGAGATTCAATATTTTTTGTCGTTTGAACTATAAGACGAGTATTCCTTTTATATATCAGGTGAAGAATAATGTTTTTATTAAAAGTGAAGTCTACATATATATATACTATTCTATTATCGGAGTCTATGGCTGAATTGGTTATATCGAAGCATCTAGATGTTAAAAGATTTATCGAGAGAGAAAGAAGAGAAAGAAGAGAAAGGAGAAAGAGACAAAAAGAAATTTCCAGATTGATATCTAATTTTCCAGAGAAAATCACTTTTTATCTCCGACATCATTCCCCACGGGGAGAAGAATCGACCACGATTCCAAGTAAGGTCCAAAAGAAAAAGGTCGAATTACCAGGGCAACACCGAGGGGAAGGGGAAAAAAAAAAAATCAGGCACCACCGAGATCCATACCATAACGTCAATTACATCCATAAAGCAGTATCCGCTGTTGTCCATATTCATGCTGTTGTTCCTGTTATCGCTAAACACTGCTGATTCACCTTTCCCATTGCTTGTTATTGTTCATTTTGCTGTATGTCGTACCGTAAAAAAAAGAGAGAAAGAGTCCACCGTTCATCATAATTGTCTTCACACTTGAAACCGTCCATGCCGCCGGCGTGATCCAACTGAACGATCTAAATCCAATAATCCAAATAATAATCCAAAGTAATCGAGTAATCCATGTAAGGTGTCCAAATAAACCACATAAGTAAACCAAATAATCCGAGTACGTAATCCGAGAAAGTAAACCAAGTAAACCAAGTAAGTAATCCGAGTCAATAATCCAAATAATCCAAAGTAAATAAACCAGACAATACGAGCAATCCCAATAATACTAACAAAGCAGGTTTCATAACCGTCGTAAGATTCATTAGCCGATAACCAGGCAGTAAGTGTGATCCTAATCAATGATCCATAAATCAATGTTCCATCATCCAATAAGCAAGAATAGTTCGTTGATCCAATAGTAGTCGCCAATAATAATAAAGATCTTCTAATCGAACACAACAGAATTATACATGTCAAGGTCCAAGGTTCAGCCATTCATTCAAAGCAACCGTGTGAGTCCAGTCATCCAATGAGCAATACCAACATTAAAGAACCATAGTTGGGAGGAAGGTACTAGTATCATCATAATAAATGTGAGCCAATCATGCACATCGAACGAGCCAGTAAGAACCAATACTAAGAGAGCCGAATAGTAAAGGAACTGAAGAGAGTGAGCGAGCCAACCAGATAATATACTTAAGCACAGTGCTAGCCATAGGAGTCCATCATATACTAATTCAAGAGTCACCGAACCAATAGTATGTATGTAAGCTACGCATCCATATCACCAACAGCAAGCCATGTATGTCTTGCTGATTAGACGTCCAAGATTCACCGCATTGTTCCAACCATGTACTTGCCCCTCCTTAAGAATTGTTGTCCCCAACAATTCCCAAAGATTCACCAACGCAAGCCAGGAGCAAGGTATCGCCGTACCAAAAGGAAAGCCAGAGGATCGAAACGTAAACAAGCTACCAGTGTCGTTTGAACTATAAGACGAGTATTCCTTTTATATATCAGGTGAAGAATAATGTTTTTATTAAAAGTGAAGTCTACATATATATATACTATTCTATTATCGGAGTCTATGGCTGAATTGGTTATATCGAAGCATCTAGATGTTAAAAGATTTATCGAGAGAGAAAGAAGAGAAAGAAGAGAAAGGAGAAAGAGACAAAAAGAAATTTCCAGATTGATATCTAATTTTCCAGAGAAAATCACTTTTTATCTCCGACATTTTGACGAATGGCTATACTGTCGGAGATAAAAAGTGATTTTCTCTGGAAAAATATATATCAGTCTGGAAATTCCTTTTTGTCTCTTTCTTCTTTCTCTCTCGTTAAATCTTTTAACATCTAGATGCTTCGATATAACAATTCAGCCATAGACTCCGATAATAGAATAGTATATATATATGTGTGTACTTTACTTTTAATAAAAACCTCATTCTTCACCTGATATATAAAAAGGAATACTCGTCTTATAGTTCAAACGACAATACTTGGTTAAGATGAGATAACTTGAGTTTGTAAAAGAGTAGTGACCACCAGAATCTTTTTGGTAAGATTCAACCTTTTGAATGAACTTGAATGTACGTGCAAATGTTAAGAGAAAAAAGAAAAGATCGACCGAGGCAGGTCGGGATTTGAAAATATAAAGAGACTCTTGAACCAAAGTAAGAGCAGTAAAGACAGAAGTTACGCTTGTTAAGTAACTTGGTGATAAGATAGGTAGCTTGTAATAAAGACCTTTTTGATTTGCAAAGATAGTTTTTATTTATTGAGATACTATTAAACTGATATAAAAGATATTCAAAAAAAAAAAAGTTGGCTATTTATACTAAATTTTTATTCAGGGGGTGAAGGGAGTGAAAGAAGTAAATGGCCAATTTGAGTTTTTTTTTCAATATCAAAAAGCGGGGCTACAATTTCAATTCCTGTGACAACAGTCATTTCAAAAAAGTAAAGTCGCTGATTTTGAATTTAAGATCCTCAGCCAAATTGGCTGAGGATCATTCACCAGCTTTTTTTTTTTTTTTTTTTTTTTTTGGATCAGCCGACATCATTCTTGGGCACGAGAACTTTTTGCACGACGTCAAATTCAAAATCAGCGATTTTACTTTTTGAAATGACTGTAACTGGCATGAGTTACGGCAATAAGGGTAGTAGAAGTCTCAAGAATTGCACTTACAATTTTACGTTAAATTTTATGTACAATTTTTGAGAACTTGAGTGCCCCTAATATGTAGTAAGTACCAGAATCTTTTTGGTAAGATTCAACCTTTTGAATATACTTGAATGTATTTGTTAATTAAGAGAGAGAGAAAGATAACCCCAATTTGGAAAACGGGACTTGAAAATAAAAAAAGTAGATCTTGAAATAGTTATGCTTGTAAGATAACTATAATGAATCCACGATATCAATGGGCAGTTCGTCGATATCAAAAGTTTGATGTTCAAATTCCATCCATCTTCGCAACAGCACGCGTAACTTTAATTTAGGAAGTGATTAGTCGGCGAATGAAATTTTGTTAGCGATAATACGGATATGAGGGGCTCATGCAACTTACCATTACTACATTACACCTCCTTCTCGCGGAAGGTAGTGACCCATATTCTCTTTCCAAGAATTGTCGCCACCGAATAAGTACTTGAATAAAATTTGTGCTGTTGCTGTCGTTACTGTTGACGGTGTAAAAGCGGGATAGTCGATATTGACCGCAATTTTGTAAACTCCTTTCTTCAGAATGTTTATTGCTGCTTTTTGATCCCGCCCCCGCGAAGCAATTTCATTTTTTCTTCCGCCGCCGTGGGTGAACAACCTGAGAGTCACAGAGACAACATAGTTTCGATGTAAGTTATTCATTAGTTTCATGAACTGTTGCCTTTTCCTTGAGAGATTGTTGTAACTTGGTTGTGCTTTGGCTCTGGTATTCTTTTATTCTTGAACCATGGCCTTGGCCAGCATCCCCATAAAACACAACTGATTTGACTTGGCTGGGTTTCAACTTGAAATACACTGAGTTTCGTATCAATGCTTTTGCCGCAGATACACAGCCTTGTCGGTGAATCTTTCCATACCATAGTTTTGCTTCTTGATTTATGGAAATTGGTGGTAGAATGTGTGTAGAAGATGTCGGTATTGCTGAATTTCATGTAAGGTCTCAATGTAAACATGGTGGTGATTGTCTTGATTTTTATGCACTTGCTCAATCTCCGGCAGATACCCTTCAATGGCATTGATACTGGTTTGCTCCTTTTTTTCATGACATGGTTCGTGAATGGCTACTGATTATTTGAGCTCGCATATCATTGAAGTAGATCTTCATCAACTTGTGTACTTGCTTTGCATCATAACTTTCCATTTCTGCTTCCAGGGGTACGTACAAAACAATGAGATTTGATTCATGCAAGTGAATGCGGTGTTTTAATTTCAGATCCCGGTCCTGTATGAATTTCCCAATCCAGCAAACCAAGCGTCGTTGCCAGGGGTAGCCTAGGAGAGGAGTAATTTACGGTTGAAAAAAAAAACCAGAGTCTTTTCATCATGATATGGTTTCCACGGCCTACCCAACAACCCCTGATTATGCATATTCAGATTCCGATTCATGTAAATAGCATCAATCATATAAAAGACAACCTCCGATTTTGGTATCATTGTAAAAGTATGAATAGTACAAGCAAAGTCGGGAGTATAATTTTAAACCTCCATTTTGCATGAATTTCCCAACCCAGCAAATCAAATCTCGCAGTCAGGGGTACTCTAGAGAAAGAGATATTAACGTTTGAAAAGAAAACCCCCGAGTCTTTTCATCATGGTGTATGGCCTACTATTTCTACCCCCTGATCATGCAGATTCAAATTCTGATTTATGGAAATCTCCACTCCAACGCAACTGGTCTATCTGAGGGTGGACACAAAGATGCTCGCCTCGCCTGTTGGAACTCAACGAGTTCATCAAACACCGGTCTTTAAATCATTGTTCCTTTTGGCCATTAGCCGTTATCTAGCTGTATGTTACCATCTTACTCTTATCTACTTTCTGACAATAAATGAAATTTATCTCTTGGTTCACCATATATAATATCTACTTTTTTCCATGGCCAAGGTCTATCTATTTGTTACCCCTGAATCATGATCTACTGTTTATCCATGATCATTATCTACTCCCTGATCATGACCATGAACTATCTTTTTATTATTTTGGACCAATATCTATTATTTGATAATGACCAAAAATTAGTTTTAGTATACTTTACCTCTGAATTCTGATAGTATCAATATCACCCCTTTTCATTCAGAATTCATTTCTTTTTTCTTCAGTTTGATCAAGTTTCTTTTTTAATAAAAAATACTAACTTTACAAATAAAAAAAAAAAAACTTTAGTACAAGCTATCTCTCTTATTATCAAGTTACTTAACAAGTGTAACTTCTGCC